ATAGTTTCTACTGTTTTTTTAATTCGTTCAGATATGTCCTTTGGTTTAGGCTTTTTTTTCTTAACCATTGTTTTATTTCCACTGTCTTTGAAAGTTCGGGTATTTGTTTGTGTTCTTTCTTGCCTTAATTTGAAATCTAGAAATATGTTGATTACTAAGATAAATCTAGAAATATGTTCATTAGTCTAATTTTAGTTTAATCTCCATTGTTGTTGTCATATTCTTATGTCTCTTTGTTTCATTTTCTTTCTGCTTAATATAATCTCGAGATTACCAAAAAAAAATCGTATTTCGTTTTTAGTGTTAACTAGCTACAAAACCATATAAAATAGTCTAATTAGGAAATTTCGAAATTTTGAAAACTCAAAATCATTGTATTGGTTGTAGTAATTTAGGATAAACCCCTCAAAAGTGGTGTATGTATATATGTTGGAAGCCGATAAAATCTTGTGTATGTATATATGTATGATATTAGTTGGGAAGAGAGTAAATATTGTTCGATATCTTTTTTTTTGGGTTATAATTCTTATTCGATATTTTTATAGATATATCTTTCTCTACCATATATTTCTTCTTTTCTCTTTCTTTATCTTTCATCATAAGTAATACAGAAGTCGTGCGCAAAAGAAAAATCAACATCGACGGAGAAAATGGTGGTGATGATGGCGAAAACGATTATGATGGTAGCGAAGTAGGTGGTGACAGAAGTGGAAGATAGCAATCTCTCTTCTCTACGTTTTTTTTTGTCTCACCGGAAATTCAATTCTCTGCCACCATTCAAATCCACCAAATCATATATCCTATTTTGGTTCTCTCTTCTCATAAAACGGGTATCTCTCCATAATCGAACTAGGGGTTGAAATCGTTGGGGGGATCGCCAGACACAATGACGAAAGCGGAAACTCGTCAATACTATCCAAGAAGGTTTTGAGAATCCAATTCTCATCTAGCCAAAGGTAGTTTGAAGTGATCCGAACGAGATGAACAATCTCAAAAAAAAAAAATATTAATCAAAACTTACTTTCTAAGATGTCTACAACTCCATATATACAAAATGAGAATTATTCTAGAAAATTAAGAAGAAATAACATAAACACTTATTAAGAGTTTTACTTGTGAAAGCAAATCCATTATAACAACCCTTCGTCTTCAACATAATGCATTTACTCTTGCTGGACCAAGAGAAAAATATTTGACTCGTCTTTTGTTTGCATTGCGGCTGAATAGACACTATTAAACATTCTCGAGATGAACAAATTGCTAAGCCGCTCAAATTTTTGTCCCCAAAATTTTCTCACCGGTCCAAGAGGCAAAACCAAAGGCTGCACTCGGCCGCACATCTTTGGTTCCTTAACTTTGATCTCTTCTTCAACAAGATCGGATGGCAGACTTGTAATCTCTTCAATAAATGCATATCGCAGAGTTGTTGTAGGCTTAC